ACGACAGAAGTCCCATCTTTTTAGGCTCCAGAGACGATGTTGGAGACGTCTTAGAATTGATAAAGAAGCATAATACTTCTTAAAATTATTAGTAATAAATAAATGGAAAGTGTACTTTGTGATTTTTTAAGCAATTCAACTTGTTAGCACAGTAAAATATTATTTTAATTTTTTTTATTCTAATGAAACCCTACTGAAGAATACCCAGTTAAATATTTTATTCCATTACTTATTTATTTCCTTCTACTGTAATATTGCACTTAATTTGTTATCAAAATACTTCAGTGTTAGATAAAAAGCTCATCAAAAAACAATTAATGAATAAAATTTACTGCAAGACTAGAGAAGCTTTTTGATATCTTTTAACTTAGATATTGATTAAGTACTTTTATAATTTGATCATTATGGAGAACGATAATAAAATAAAACCATCATAAGTAATAATAATAATATAATAAAATCAATATTTGTTTATAAATGGACACTTTATATACATATACAAATCACAATAGAAAAATACAATTCGTCTAACTACTATTACAATCACAATCACGTAGCAATAGTGATAGTATTCGTGTGCGTCTTCGACAACCTGTCCACGTATTTAGTTTTATTTATACAACCAATTCCTTCTCCAACTCTGACACGTTGGAACGGCGTCAGTTTAAATTCAAAAGAGTCAGGGGCTTCAAAAACTAGTACAATCGTCGAGCCCATCCGAAACTCCCCTACCAAATCGCCCTTATTGAGATTAATAGAAGTACCCAAACATTTGTCATCTTTATTGATAAAAGGTTGTCTATATTTTGGCCTATTCGTTTGCAAAGTCTTGTCGAAATAGACCCTAACACTTCCAACATTTGTAGCACCTTTAGGAAAAGAGGAATAGTGTTGTAATGAAAATATGATTTTCTTCGTCATTATAATTTTTACTACCGAGAAGGGCATGACAATTAATTTTTTAAATTTGAAATTGTAATTTGTAAATGTTCTTACCAACAGCTGCCATGGAAAAGAATCCATGTTCCCAGTGTCCCAAATACACAGCCCTTTCATTTATACAGAATAATCCTGGCAACCACCTTGCTATACTCGGGTTCACTGACAGCAATTGACCACAAAAATGACGTCTGTGGTTTGGCTGCCAATCCACTGGTGAGTGGAACCTTAAACAAAAACATTTCGTTTCATCTGTAATGTGTAAAAATTTCCACCCTCAAAAGCCTTTATTTATTTGTCCTAAACGTTTGAAGGAAATAAATTTATAAAATTGCCTTTAGAGTTTAATAACAAGTAAAATATGCGACAAAAGAGACAATCATTCAAATATAATAAACAGTTACACTCGATATTATTTCAAAGGTTATCAGGCATATACAGATCAAACTAATCTAAAGTTTTCTTATCGTCCCAAGACCCCAACAGGAAGGAATAACAAATAAAAGATTGTATGAGAAAGGTCTATAAGGATATTCAAGAAAAAAATAATTAAAGCAATTAACCATTTGATAAATTGTAATATTTTTGACTTTTCTTTGGTTAAAAACAGAGATAATAAAATATAATAATTAAACATAGTTTCCAAAGCTTCACCAAGATTAAAATTCATATGAATCTATTGAATAATTATATTTATATTAAACAATGAGATTCTCATTAGTAGCAATACGCGATAAACCATATTTATTTCCAAATATATATCAATAACATGTATTAAACTATACCCTCTAATAAATATAAACAAAACAAACATTATTACATTGAATATGACGTACTGTTATCTACAGAGAGTGGTACAAGGTGGTAAAACCAAAAACCATTCAATAAATGTTTATTACAAGTGAGAAAAGAAATATTTTGACGATGGGGAAATGAAGCTATAAAGTGGGTCAAGTATAACACACATTCAACTGGAAGTCTCTACTATCTCAGATTAAAAACAAATGTTTACGAATTATTATATGATAAATATCTCAGACAATTATTATCTCTTTAATTTAATTTATTGTCCAACTGTGAACTTGAATATTTTCTGCTTTGTATACCTCAATTTGCAGAGAAACATGAAAAAATTTAGGATTCAAGATGAATTTTCTTGTTGCTTACCTGTGATAATCTCCAGGTGCTAAATAAATAACACAATGGTATAAGTTGTTTGGCAAATGGGGTTTATGGAACAAGGATTTTCTATAATCACAATCTTCGTTATGATTTCGATTATTATTCCAAGTGTTTTCCCCTAAGAAATTTTCCAGAGAGTAAGTAACACCTTTCACCTACAACGAAAAAACAAATATTTTTGTTATGGTACTTCCTGGAACCTGTTTGTTATTATTAATTATTATATATCCTAACAATATATCTAAATTGTAAACAATACCGAGATAAACAAGATTACTTTGTTTCCTTATTAATGACACAATAATCTATCTGCTTTTACAGCTTTTTGACTTCAGAAATGAGAACTTAATACAAATTTCAAATATCTACAGCTTAATGATGGCATTCATTTTTATAATTACTTTTTTAGCATGGAAACAACGTTGTTTGAGTGATGTTAAACAGTGTTTTATCATTTCAAAACGATGTTTAGTCTTTTTTATGATAGCAAATCTCATTTCTTTTATCTTTAGGTCAACATTTTCATACCTTATTATTATGTCCTCGAAACAAAATATCGATACAATAACGGTTTAGATATCTCTGTATGATGACTTTTATCAAGATTATTTAAAACAGATACCTAGACAAATTAATTAATGAGTTAGAAATAAATATTGTGTTTCTTATTTTTTAATGTGACATTAAGGCAACCTTAATATTATCAATCTTGATGAACCAAAAATTATATAATAAACAACTTGAAGAAGTGTAATGATCTTTTTAGATACTTAAAAATCCAATATGCACATAACAATAAATACAAATAAACAGTTTGTATGTACCTGTTCCACATGTCCTGTTTCAATAGGGCCAAAATGGAGAACAGTTCCATCACAAGGACTGACCAAAGGACACTCCTGGTTAATCTCACGAACGCCTTCCTTCAGTGGCCTTTATAAATGAAATATTCTTAATATACGTATTTAAAATTGTTTATTAACTTAATTTACCGAGAAAAGAAGTCCGCTAAACTCCTGTAAGACCCTAAGTCTTGATTGGCAGCCTCACTCAAATCCACCCCAAATGTTTTAATGTAGAGATTATAAACAAGTGGTCGTAAAGATTCAGGAATATGTTTATCTGAATTAAAAAAATTATAAACAGGATAGTTAAGATAAAATTATATACCTTAATGAATCAAGAACTTATCAATAAATACTTTATAGACATATTTAAATTAATAATGGCTTCAATAGTCTGACAATTACATGCTCTGAAAAACTAATATATTTAAATGACTGACTAAATTATTATGACCTTTTCTGATTAGAAATTCCATTAATATGTCCTTCAACTAGTGAATGTTTCTTTCTTGAAGGTGATAATCAAACTTATAAATTCATTTATACATATTACCACACATCAAATTTGACCCCAAATAAATTAATTAACGATTAAGTAAACATTCTGCAAATAATTAGAATAATTAAGACAGGTGTAAGTTGTTTTGTATAAAAATTAATTCAAATGGGAACAAACAATTTTACTGTTTTTTTGCTCTCTTCTTTCTAGAAATTTCTAAAAACTATTCAGTACAAATGAAGGGATTATGTTAATGTTTCAAGTTGGAAACACAATGTAAATGCAATAAATACCTGCTAACCACCCCCACCATCTACTGACTGCTCGTAGTGGTAAAGCACAATAAAATTTAACTTCCCAATGGCTTGCAGTTCGATCACTTATTTGTTTCCTATAGAATCTCCATTGCATTACTGCAATGAGGCACAGGCCAACAGGGACAAATTTTGTCATAATTACCTTCCACTCCAACCATCCTAAGGAGAAAATGGAACAATTTAAAGGTATTTGTTGTTAAAGTATCAAAATAAGCAAAAGTTACAAACACTAAAGTAAAATGAGAATGCTATTAATTAAATTATAGTTCATTAAATCATTCACACCTTGAGAAGTAGTAGAATAGAGTAAAAAAATAACAGGAAAAGTTTCAGCTGACATGTTAACAGCTCAACTGTTTGTTTGTTAATAAACACATAGAGACCCCATCAAAGAACGTACAAACGCTGATTGTAGATAATTAAGTAATTGATAACACAGTTATGCGTTTTGGTACACACTTCCCACGTACCTTTTTTTAATGTCGCGTTGTCTGCATTAGAAGATAAAGGTCTGACGAATGATGCTTTGTTTTCTTTTATTTGTACCCTTCCATAAGGTCTTTGAAACGTCTTCGATAGTTGAGCAAAACTTCTGCTTTTTGTAAAAATAAGCCCTATTGTTTTCAGGTTCATTTTTCTACTACAAAATAAGTCATTATTTTCTTCATAATATTAAATAAAAACTATAATATAATAAAA